GACATTTACCCAAAGGGTCCTGTCTTAGATTTAGATATTTCAGTTTTACACGGAAAACTCTTTACAAAACTTTACGACGAAAGCGACGATGTTTCGTTCCCTATTGCTAATTTTTCTGTTTTGGACGATGATGTTCCCTTGGCACATTCTTACGGTGTTTATATATCACAACTCCTTCGCTATGCCCATGTCTGTTGTAACGTTTGAGATTTCAATGAACGTAATCTATATATTACTGGTAAATGATTAAGTCAGGGATTTCGTTACCACAAATTTCTTAAAATCTTTAATAAATTCTTCAATAGATACAAATATTTGGTTTGGAAGTTTGGTTGTACCTGTAGAATAAACTTATTTCAAACGGGATATAACATCCAAATTTTACGGAGATGTTGTTTACCGGGCTCAGAAATTTAGATACGATCCGGGTAAACTTATCGATCCTTCAAATAAAATTATTTCAAAAGGTTACTAATACCAATATCACTGAAAGTAGATCTTTGGACAATGTTTTTATTGTTCATGTTTTTCTCTGACTGTTAATGACGTCTTTACACTAAATCCATTGGATGTTTGATGTGTAATGATTGATATTGAGTATTATACATAAATCAGGCCGTTAGTTTTCTCGTTTGCATTGTTTTGAATTTGTAATTGCAAGGCCTTTTATAGCTGTTAATGCAGTATGAATTTTGTTCATTGTTGAAGGCTGTACGGTGACCTATAGTTGTTACAGAAACTTCTTTGTCATTTGGTCTCTAGTGGAGAGCTGTCTCATTGGTAATCATACCACATTTTCTTATTTCGTATCCTGATTACGGAAGGTCAGTATTGTAGTTGACCTGTCAAGGTCAGAGGTCTTCCAACCTGATGCAAAAGACCCAATGGCTTCATCATGTTTAAATATCAAGTTAAAGTAAAGGTCCAAAATGTACAACGTCAAATTCACTTTTGACCTTGACCTCTTTTCCAAGGTCACAAAGCAAGGATCTCATCTTCAAAATGGTTTAACCAAAAATACCAGACTTTAATAATAATTCAAAAACATGAAAAAATCAAACGTTAGATTAAATCAACCGCCGGATCGAATGGCGAACAACTGTATTATTACTAACTTGGTACAGGCCTTTTCCGAAGAATATGGGTTTTACAAATATAATTAGTTTTTTTATTGATTTATTTGAAACTTTTCTACTCGATCATATAAGGGTAGACAGATGTTACTCTTGCAGTAAAATTTGTATCAGGGAATGTTAATGAACTTTTCATTTTTTTTTTAATTATAGCAAGGTAACAAGTTTCGTTACACCATTATGTCTTTTAATTTGTACGGAAGACGCACCTCTCGTCTACATAAGACTCACCAGAGGCGCTCATCATAGATGTCTCGATTTACATTCTAACATTTCTCCTCACATGCCTCATGTACTGATACATATTTTTATTTATATTCCAAATCTTTACATAGGACGTCTCGAACTTTGGCTTGTATCCTTATCCTGATAAATGTTCCAAATTATATTCCAAATAATTGTGTTTTCAAATTTGAACTTTTGATCAAAATGGTCTTTATGAATACCACTCTTATAAAAGTTCTACATTTATCATTAATATTTCTGGAGACCTTGACTTTGTGTCTGGTCCGAATTTTACACACCCATTTCGATCTGTCTGCATTTTCATTGACATCACGAACTTATCAAAATTGAGATAATTTATGATTATAAATATCGCCTCCAGAAATGCAACATGCAATGTTTAAACTGCTGCCTCATATATCAAAATGTCTTCTGTTCTGATGAAACTTTGTATTCTGGCATTTGTAGCCACAGTTGGTAAGTCGCTTTTTAATTATCATTTAATGAACTTACTCTTTAAGATTAAATCTGTAATTCATAATTAAATGCTTCTTCATTTAGTTTTAATCAAAGGACATTAGGGTTAGCGTTAGGGATAAGGTTAGGTTTAGGGTAGCTGTCAAATTTATGCTCAACAATTTTACACAACTTCAAATTAACATATTTGATTTATAACATAGACAAACCTAATTCCAAATTACAAACAGTCCGAAAAGAAACAATTAACAATGCATAGACTCGATAAATGTAACAGCATTTAGGGCATAAAAACTATATGTCATCAAATTGTCCATTGCATTAACATGATTAAGTGTGAAATCAAGCTTTTCCAAAATTGTAATTAAATATTCCTATTAGTAACTTTGTGAATAATAATAAACTTAAAGGACTGCAACCTCAGACATTATAAAACGCCACCAGTGTCTGAGCAGATAGTTGATGAACCACAGTTATGTCAAAGACCCTTTTCCTTTTTCTATAAAAGTTCATTGGAAGATACCAAGATCTTGTTGATAAATTTCAGTTTCAACTTCACAAAGAATACATGATGGTCTTGAAGGATAAATTCTAGGTACTGACGTTGTTTATCATCTTAATTACGTGTTAAAGTGTTCTTTTTATTTGTTCATTTACAATTTTAACATTATGTCAAAAAAATAGGATACATAATTTATATAAATAAAAAGATGTGGTATGAGTGCCATTGAGACAACTCTCGATCTAAGTCACAATGTATAAAAAGTAAACTATTATAGGTCAAAGTACGGCCTTCAACACGGAGCCTTGGCTCATACCGAACAGCAAGCTATCACAGGCCTTAAATTGATTAGTCTATTTTTGGTAATATCCTTTTGGCGTGGCTCGGTATTTATACATCTCGCCATTGTGTTATTGTGCTATGGACATCTTTTGTATGTTTGTCTTTCGTTTTTACTTATGTGCTTTGTCTATAGAGTGTCTACATGTCATTTTGTTTTTCATTGTTGACATAGTTGTTTGTTTTTATATTGATTAAGTTAATAACACAATGTTGACTGCTGTTTCACAATTTTTGACACTTTAACCTATTGTGTCTGTTTGTTTTGCTAACACATAGTTGTCATTATAATGGAATTTTACCCTACTGTTAAACACGTGAGAGATTTAACTAGCTATTAAACCTAGTTTAATCCACCATTGTCTACATAAGGAAATGCGTGTACCAAATCAGGAATATGACAGTTGTTTTCCATTCGTTTGATGTGTTTGAGCTTTTGTTAATGGACGTTCCGTTTTGAATTTTCCTTCGAGTTCGGAATTTTTGTTATTTTACTTTTTATTGAAACAAAAAACACTATGTGCTTTTATTCTGATATCAAATAATGAAATCCTTCTGAAACAGTTTTTTTTCTTCGTGAAGCAAATAAAACCAAAAGTTGAAATAAATTTTATCACTCAAAATGTAATTTATATTATTTTTCTTTGACTTTTGATTTCGATTGCCTGCCTTGAACATGATTACTCTTTGTGTATCAATTGTTTAAAAAAATTAGACACATTTCAACATTCATACTTTTTATGAAAGGATACATACAAATGAATCATTTTTTGTTTGTTTCAGTATTTTGCGCATGTCCAAATAATTGGAGTCATTATGAAGACAAATGTTTCTTTCTAAGCCGTGACAACGAGACATTTGCCGACTCACTGGTGAGTTAAAATGAAAAGAGCAGAGTGAGGGTTCTTCAAATTATGATTTCGATTGTCTTACTTTGATATAGAATGTGCCCTATTTTCGATTTTGAATGAGTGTGAATTCCAATGATGGATGATGTATGCATGGCAGAAGTAGCTAACCCGTTAGACACATCCAGTCTGGCTTCTTTTAGAGTTAATGTGAATCTGTGATTCGCTCAGGTTTTTTTTTGTTTTTTGCTTTGTTTTTTTACCTTGTTTTGTATCTTTTTAGTAAATTTATGAGATTTGAACATCGCAAAACTACTAATGCCACTTTTTTAACATCACATGATCTTGTATATGAAATCAATAATTTTGAATTCATAAATACCAAGCTCAAGGGAGTGCGATCTTAGATAAAGAACAATGACATAATATTAGGAGCGGGAAATACATCTACACAATGTAGTATGTTTTATCATGGTTATAACAAAGCACTTGGTAATGTAAGAATATCGGTTTGTTTCAATGTGAAAGCTGTTTTTGAGGGAGCGATATAACAGTAAATATGTCAATTATTTCATTCAAATTAATCGTTTAATATCAACATGATCAATAGATACTTGTGCTGTAATTTGAAAGTATTGTGTTTCTATCTTTTCTCAGAAACTGTGTGAAGTGATTGGACGCCAATATGGAAGATCGGCATCATTAGCTACCGTAGATGATGCAAAAACGCAACAATTTCTTACAGATTTAATGATCAAAATAAGTAAGAATGAGTAAACGTTAAATTGTACATAAATGATGAAGCACAACTTTTCTCCTCTACCTACCTGAACCTGAAAAAAATATGAAGCGACTTCTTTAAAGTACTATTAAGCTAGGCTGTCTTAGTGGCTATAGTTTTGTTTTGAAATGGTTGGATATCAAAGCTTCGTATGCATAGGAGCTTTTCTGCATTTTGTCAGAATAAAAATATGGCTTTTGTTTACTTACTTATCATTGAGGTCCTTCCCTTTCTTAAAAATGATTTACTGAGTCTTAGTTGTTAAGAATTTACTTTTTAATAGTTTGTTGACCTCATTGTTTGCATCTAAAAACAAGCCAAATACTTTAACCTAGTCGTTATGAAATAGTTCTATGAATCATCGTACAAGACATTCAGTTAACTGCAATTAGAAAACTTCAATTAAGCCATTACAAATGGCAGTTTAATTTGTAAAAAGTATAGAAAAAAAGAAATAAGAATTCACAGAAAACTTATGCAGAAATGAAAATTCCGGTAAGACTGAAAACAATCAATTTTACTATAATTCTTATATTATGCTGTTCATTTATTAGCCAAATAAATTCAAGCAAAAACTTTACAATTCAACATTGAAAATGTATATTTGATGGATAGAATTTTACATGTTAATTTTATATGAATTTGTTTAGAAATTCAAAACCATTTTTTGTTTTGTTTTATCAGATTCCATTGGAATGTACATAGGATTAAATGACCTTGTAACTGAAGGGACATTTCACTGGGTAGCCAACGGTAAGCAGGCAACATACTTTAACTGGGGACCTACCCAGCCAAACAACAGAGGGGGAAACGAAAACTGTGTAGCTATGCGAGTTGATCCAGTTATAGGCTTCAATTATTCATGGACAGATGGTCCTTGTACAGTTCCGACCACATACATTTGTGAAATGGTGTAAGTATTATTGTAAAGGAATCAATATAAACGCAATACATATTACACTGTGATATGCGACTTGATTCTTTTAACGGCTTCAACTATACTTGGACAGATGGTCCTTGTACAGTTCCAACCACCTACATCTGTGAAATGGTTTAAGAACCATTCAAAAGAAATCGAAGAAGCTGAACACTTATCTTTTTTTTACAACTGCTTAATTAAAAATATATGATTAACTGTTTTTTTCTTCTGTCTTTTAATGTTGGTCTCAACTACCGAGTAATCAGCATATATTGTAGATTTTAAAATTCAAAATTTCCTCTCTGCATTTTAGTTTTCATCTGTCTGGGTATTTTGTTCCGAAAAAAATAATGAAGGTTACACAGTATTTTTAATGCGTAAAATCGTAGATAAGAAAGCGCCTATCAATAAGAATGCAAATATGTTTTGGTGATTAACAAACCCGTCCTTAAATTATCGTTAAGGAATGAACAAGTGTCCATCTAAATAAATTTATCATATATACCAGGATTAAAATTTGGTACGCCAGACGCTCTTTTCGTCTACAAAAGACATAGTCCCAACCTGGATCATTCGTCGGATATTTGGAGTTTACTGTAACGACATAGTGGTTATTATATTTTCTGGTTAGATAAATCGATTATTGACACTTTTTATCAAATCCGTGACACAAACCGAATATGAACTTTAATATTTAGGTCACTTATAGACACATTGGGTCGGGTGTATATGTATATATTATGTCAATTGACATAAGTCACTTTAATTAATAATCTACTTACTTACTTACTTGCTCAATGGTCAATCCAATGTTGTTGCTTCCATAAACTTTTGAAAAAAGGTGACTTTAACCTTACGATTTATATGAGAATAAGCAGAAGTGGTATGATTGCAAGTGAGACAATTCTCCACTGGAGACGAAATAAGTTAGCAACTATTTTTCACCAAAAGGCCTTCAACAATGAGCAAAACCAATTCAGTTAAGCAAGGTATAAAAGCCACTGCAATGACAAAAAAATTCAAACGAGTATACTAACGGCCTCATAAACGAAAATGAATACAATATAAAAACAGCAAAAATCAACCAATGTTTTACAAGCCTCTAACTTCATTCAAACGTCTCATTGTTCATGTGCCAGCTATCTTTCACTAAAAAATTCCCCACATATGATATACATTTATATACATTTGATTTTTTCAAATATTTATTTATTTATTTTAGGGCAGCAGATATTGGAAATCTTCTCGGATAACCGTAATTGTCAGTAATTGTTTTACATGTTATATATTAGTTTATGTATTATATATCTACACCAAAATTATTCTGTTGTTTTTATTTGATATTTGTTTTTATGCAAATTGTTGGATGTTGACAGAGACCTTATAGTGTAACATCGATTCTCTTCATATTGATAATACCAGAGAGAGAGAGAGAGAGAGAGAGAGAGAGAGAGAGAGAGAGACTTTTGAAAAAAGAACACGAATAATCTCTAGGTATGCTTTAGGTATGCTTAACAATTATAGTAAATAGTGGTTTATTATTCGTTGTTGTTCTGTGGTTTGCATGTTTTGTAGCCTATTATATTATTTGTTTGTGCTTTTCTCTGTTATGAATGTTCTTGCCTGTATTTCTGTCACGTAGTGTTTAGCGATATGTTTTAACATTGTCATAAAGCGGGTGGTATGGCATACCATGAAACCAGGTTCAACCCACCATTTTTTCTTAAAACGTCCTGTACCAAGTCAGGAATATGGCAGTTGTTATCAAATAGTTCGTTTCTATGTGTGTTGGCGTTTGTTTTTGTTGCACTTCGGTGTTCCTGTTGTTCCTTTGTTTTCCTCTTATAGTTGATGTGTTTCCCTCGGTTTTGGTTTGTAACCCGGATTTGTTTTCTCTCAATCGATTTGTAACTTTTGAAAACCGGTATACTACTGTTGCCTTTATTTATATTAGTTTTGTCTATAACATGTCGCAAAATATGTGTTATTATGTTACATTGGTACTAACATTTTTTCAGACGCGTGTTTTGTTTACACAAGTGAACAGCGGGAAAATGAAATACAATTGTACTTGTTGAACACCATTCTAACATCACGTTCTGATATATCAAGCTGACAACTGTCATTTATAACATATACTATAATCAGAATAATCCATAAGTATGCTTTACAATAGTAAATATCAGTTTTGTCTATAAAATGTCGCAAAATACCTGTTATTATGTTACATTGGCACTGACATTTTTTCAGACGCGTGTTTTATATACAAAAACTCATCAGTGACGCTCGAATTAAACACGTTAAAAAAAAAAACAAATAAAGTACGAAGTTGAAGAGCATTGAGGAGATAGCTTATTTTTCACAAAAATAAAAAATACATAGCTTTTATCCTTCTCTAATGAATTAAGGTGGATAATAAGCGACCTTCGGTTTACTCAAAATAATTTCCGGTGCAAATTGATAGCAAAATTTACATTGATTCTTAAAATATATGGTTTCTATATGTTTTGATTGAAATATGGTAGCCAATTTGCTATTTCCGGTTGGAAATTACAACATCCGATTTGATATAATCAGTGGTTGCTAGCTTCTTTTACATAAATAAAATGCACGAAAATAACTTTTGTTCTGTTTACAGAAGGTCAGTCTGGAAGCTGACCTATGAAGTTCATATGTCTTCCAACCTAATGCAAAGGACCCAATGACTGTATCATGTTAAAATATCAAGTTATAGCAAAGGTTCCAATCTAAAACGTGCAATTTACCTTAGACCTTGACCTCATTTTCAAGATCACAAAGAAATGATCCCATATGAACAATGTACACAAAATACCTAGCTCGAAGGTAAATTCAAAAAGGGTATAGTCCAAGAAACATGACAAAATCAAACGTCAGAATATCAACCAATGGAACGAATTATTACAACAGTCAAATTACTAACTTTGTACAGGCATTTTCCGAATTGGTGGGTCTAACGTTATTTCTTACACTTTATTGCTCTGGCTATACGTTTATAGCTAGGTAGCTAGGTAAGCCCCCAACTTTTATGACAGTTATCTATAGTTCGATCATGTTAACAAAAATGTTGTTTTGTAAGATATGCAACTCAAACAGACTCAATATGTTAATATGACAATAAACAAGACCCAACAGCCAAACTGTGTAAACAATTATCACAGATATACAACACAACTAATTAAAAAATTCAAACAAACATACAAATAAATCTGATAAGGATGTCAACAAAAAAATTATTGTAGCTGACAAATACGCCATTATATAAAAACATAAAATGCGGTACAGTATACACTTTCCAAATAACGTACGAATGAGTAAAATATTTATCCAAGGGTTAACAAAATGGATAAAAAACATTGTAAAAACATACTGGGTCCGAATCGCACCTCTAAAACAACCTGCAAAAGAATCGTCCAAAGCCAAAAACCCGATAACTGGATGGACAAAACAACCAAAAAGGAACACATAAGCATAAAAAAGGGCAAAATGAAAACAGATAAAAAGATAAACACTTTAGAACCTGCTGTACAGTCAAGACCCTCTTGTATAATTTATGAAGTAGACACTTTCTGCGAGACATTTTTTTTTGACAAAACCTGGGACTATTGATTTTTGCTCAGACAATAACACAAACCTCACTTAAATTCATGTGCTCCAGATGGATACCAATCGTGTTGTTTTTGACAAGTAAAATTCCAGTGTCAATCCGAATAGTTTGGATTGTTTATGGAAAGAACATCACCAATATACCTCTTTGTGAAATTAAATGATCTCGCTTTGATCTCGTTTTTTACAAGTGTTTAAAGGAACTCCGACTCGTATGAAAATAAGAAAAATCGACCAGTTGAGGTGGACAGACTTTTGGTCTTAACAGCTGTGTATTGTAAATGAAATATATTGTGAAACTTCTTGTTTTGAATATTCCAAAGGAGAAAACTCCTGTTAAATGTCACTTTATCCCTCTGTACAAAAAACCTATTAAGGCGTGTCTCATCTCATAGAAAACCTTTTATCGATATCAATAACGGGATAAACAAGAACAAGCAAAAGTAATAAAATTCTAACAAGACTTTGACCGTGGATTTTTTGGACCGAAAACCTCAAATCAAAAGACACTTGATCTCTATCTCTTATGGTTAAATAGTTACAAGTAGATATTACTTATATCAAAAACATAAAGGTAAATAACCCTCAGATGGAGTCTTCGAATTGCTTCGGAACATTTTTTTCTCGACATCCTGAGAATGTAACGAGCAACAAATTAGGTAAAATTATTTTTATTATCTTGTGCGTTTTAGGGAGACAATTTTTTAAGGAAAAGTGTTCTATAAAGCGTCAGTTTCAAAAGTGTATTAGCACTTCGAAATTATAGACCAAATATCTACACGTAAGCAACATCTTGCGAAAGAACAATGAAGTGCTGCCGAAAAAAAAATAACACAATTGCTAGATACACGACTTTATTTTTTAGAATTATTTGTCTGTTGAAATCCGTGTCATCCATGTTCTTCAATTACTGCTATCCAGCAAAGAAATCTATTTTAAACGTTTGAAGTTGATTTGAACACGACTTCTTGCTACCTTTTACGGGGTGGACGAAAGAAGGATTCAACGGATGGACAGACCACAAAATATGTCCCATACTATTGTGGTCAGGGCTTAAAACCTTAAACTAACCTAAGAAATGAGAGATATGACGAATAAACATCGACCAGAGACCAATTTAAAAATCAGTGGCAAATGACATACACTTTATAACAAATGCTCAAAAAGTACATGTATGATACCAAAGGGACAATCAAAGAATAAAAAGTGGAGAAAAAAAAAACGCACACACACACACACACACAAAGACAACAATAGTCCACAATAATGTGCACTTGACAAACATCTGCAGTTTGAGCAACCCGAGTAAAACAAAAATACCGTTTTGAACTAAAGTGCTACGGTAGGGTTAGCAGATCCTGTTCCACCAGAAGCACACGTCACGTTATCGATTTTAACATCTGTTAAGTAAGAGTACTTATCATTGAGGCTTCGTACCATAGTTGGTAAGTAAATATATTGCGTAAAACTCGAAGAAATTACATATTTTCAAACCATCGGTATTGGTACAATGTCTTTTCCTGAACCATGTCGAAATGGAAAGCGAACAGTTTTGTTTCGGGACAAATAATCAGAAGAAACAACAATGACGTTCTAAAAAAATATAGCAACCAACAAATAATGAAATAACACAAACCTTACTTAAATTCATGTGCTCCAGATGGATACCAATCGTGTTGTTTTTGACAAGTAAAAGTCCAGTGCCAAGTTTGTTGAGGACACCATCAACGTGGAAAGGAGGCAGATATTTTGCATACAACAAATGAAAGTATGCGTGGTAATTTGTGAAAAAAGAAACGTAAGACCTAATTATATATATATAACGTAAGACCTAATTATATATATATAACGTGTCCAGAATAAACTCTATTAGATAATGTCACTTATAAACTTTAAAAAAATGGAAACTTAACAATTGGAAAGTTAAAGAAAATTCTTTCAAACAATCCTGCTCAAATCAGTTTTAGAATTGACTTTCTGTAATGTTCCGATCTCTGATAATTTTTTTTTAATTTGACAAAGTAGTTCATGGAACAAAATGAAACATTTTGACGCTTTCTTATTTTTTTTTGTGTTCGAGAAAAACGTTGTCAGGCCATTAAATATACGTTTATAAAGCCTAACTATGAAATAATAGTCATTATACATATACAAGGAAAAATCGTCTAGAAAATAGTGAATGTTTACATCCATGGCTTTCAAATGATTGGGTTTGATTGTTCTTTGTAAAGTAAATCAAGAAAATTGGAAGAACTCACAAAATGTATATAGTATTATTTTCTTTATAGGAAAATGAGGTGTATCACAAAATTTATTGTTTTGTGGTGTCCTCACTTGTAAAAGATGTGAACCACAAGTTCATTGTTGAAGACCTTGGTATTATAAACAACATCAATAATGACGCTTAATTTATTCCCAGGATATCATAGGATTTAATTTACATATACATTCACCCATTGTATGCTCTTTCGACGATAAACATGTAAGCATCTTTTTCGTTTTTGCCATGGCAATTTCAGTTCATTTTCAATTTATGAGTTTGATTGTCCCGCTGGTACCTTTCGCCTCCCTCTTATACTTTACTACGACTAAACAGTTATGTAGGATGTAGATCATGGAAACAGGAACGATTATATCCAACTTTTTAATAATGTTAATACAATGGCAACAGTCTTGTTAGTGGTAATACAGTTCTAGATTATTCCGTATTCATGTCGGGTTCTTCCAGATTAGTTGAAAAAAACAAGACAATACCATTGCCGAAAAGAAAAAGGGCGAAAAGACGAACAAGATTTCCCGAAAAAAAACATAAACATGATAAACTAAAGCAACAAAAATCTCTGTAAAAACTTTTAAAATCTATTGTACTAAAACTAAGTGGTGTAAGGGAGTATATCAAGTGGACAATCGACAATCATAAATCCAGTAAAACAGACTGCACAATAATAATAAAAAAAAATGATAAAAAAAAGGCAAACAATAAAGATTTACACAACCAACAAAATACTGGACTACACGAACCCCAACAAAAACTGGTGGTGAACAGAGGTGCTCCGGAAGTGTAAAATCAAAAATAACAGGACCAAAGATAATATTGACTGCAGTGTTTAATTCCATTTTTACATCCCAAAACAATCTACATATCAGTCTTTCAAACCTTTGCTATCATTGTTCACCTGGTAAAGATTGTATCGGAAACGAGCATCGTGCACATCAAAGTATTAATTAGTGTTATGGGTTTACATTCTTACATAGGTTCTATATGACAACATTTCTGTACATGAACTGATAAATGTTCTAATTCATGTTCTAACAAATGTTCTATATAGCAACATTTTCTTCATGTACTGATAAACGTTCTAATTTATATTCTAACAAATGTTCTATATAACAACATTTTCTCCACTTGTACTGATAACTGTTCTGATTAACGTTCCTAGTGTTCATATGGGATGTTTACTTTGGTTTTGGTGCGAATTTGACACCCACATTCTAACCTGTCTGCAGTTGCCATTCACATTCTTAAACATTCTGACATTGAAATCACGAAATTTGATACCAAGTCTTATCAAAATTGAGATAATTAACGAATACTAGTATAAATATCGCCTTATTAAATGCAACAAGCAGTATTGAACTGAAACATTATCCTATAAAATGTCTCCTGTTTTGATAAAACTTCTTGTTTTGGCAGTTGTAGGAACAGCTGGTAAGCATAATTATATATTTCATTTAATGAACTGACTTTTCAAGCCTTTAAAGATATATGTATATCATGTATATCTTATAACAACATGCTGATAATTACAGCTACATAATAGTTCATTTCCTGTTTTTTTCCTCGATGGAAGACATTAAAGTAGAAGTTATGACAAACGTGATGATTTAAAAATGTTTACTTCTCCTTTCTCAACAGTAATATATGCTTTGTTCCAACTTATGCCGTTTACACATCTAAGCTAATACGTAACACTCGTGCACGCTCCAAAGATACGAACTTCATTGACAGAAGTGTGCTCCTTACACACAAAACTAAACCCACGGACTGATGAGGAAGAACGATTGAAATCCATATCAAATAAGTCACCATTTCGAATTGGCCGACTGATATGCTATATCTGTGTCTCAACTCATTTGCAACATGTCTGTGTTTCAACTCATTAGCGACATGTCTGTGTCTCAACTCATTAGCAAAATGTCTTTTTCTCAATTCATTAGCGACATGTTTACAAAGTCTTAGATCTTCAGCTACCGGAATAGCTGTTTAATCTGAAGTTTTACTGATGGTGTCCTATTCCCGTTGATGACATTTTGAGTGACTGTTGCTTCGCATGGCGGAAGAAGCATGCGTATATTTGTAGTAGGAGACGCCTACCCTGTCGACGCCTAATACCTCAATCATTATCGTGATGATGCAATTCAATTAGTTTGTATTGGTTACCTTTGTTTCTTCTCGATAAACGAGATTTGAACTGCAGTCGCCTTAGTTTGTCTTCTTTATACAGATTTTTGTTTGTAATTCACACATTTAAACTTCTTTATTCAATGATACGACACATACTAATTCAATATTATTACTATTTCAGTATTTTGCACATGTCCAAATGGATGGAATCATTATGAAGACAAATGTTTCTTTTTGAGCCGGGACAATGAGACATTTGGCAATTCACTGGTGAGTTCAGATAATGATCAAAAGGTCTGAAATATACTAACATATTTACTACGTTTAAATCGTTCTTTTGTTTGAAAAAAACTTTCTCATCAGATACAACAGTTTGATGCTAACCGCCAAGTAGCTGACGGGTCGATTAAATACATTTCAAGCTATAATTTGTTATCAATTACTAGACTTAGTACTCCGGAGAAAAAGGGGACCTGTGATGTCGTAATTTAGCCGTTTTGTTTTGATTTCATAAAACGGTTCTATTGTTTGTATTTGTCTTACCAAGTTGTTGTTGTTGCACGCACTTGATGAAGTTGTTTTTCAATTGGCGAGACCCAAAATTTGATGAATACAAGACAGGTAAATAAAGGTCGTATGAAGGTCCCTTAGATTTTTAAAATCATAAAATGCATCATACTAAAAAAAAAACTGATGTTATAACGTTTAGCGCAAAATGTGTGTCTGGAATAACTCTGACAAGTATATCTAACTGCTAAGCAAAACAATATATATAAGGTTAAGCATTGGCTACTTTGTTCATTGGGGTAATTTATAAACAGATAAGCAACCTTTAACTTATATTTTGATATGCCTAGGGAGGATATGGAAGGAAACATGTCAATTCCATCATGGAAATCTATTCAAATAGGACTATGTTTACAAACTATATTTATTTATTATTTGCAATAACATGTCTTTATTTTTTCGCAGATGCTCTGTGAAGTAATTGGGCGCCAGTATGGAAGATCTGCGTCTTTGGCTACCGTTGATGATGCCAAAACACAAGTTTCTTACAGATTTAATGATCAAAATAAGTAGGAATAAATTGGCAACATGTATTACAACTATGATAATCCAAAACTTTTCAGTCACTCTTTCTTGCTAAATATTTTATGATTTAATGGAATCAATACTATTTTTGGCAGCAAAGCTTAGGTGTCGTAAGATATAAAGCTTCGTCCTGTTAGGCTCTACATGATAATTGAGATTTTGATATAAATACTTCATGTTCACGGGAGTTTATCTGCATGTATGTAAGACATTAAATCTTTGTTTTTCTTATCGTTAAAAAAGTCCGTTATAAACTTTAGAAATAGAAAATAGCGTCTTATTTGTTGAGAATCTATTACTTAAGAAGGTTTCAATTTTTAATCACTTTATTGGCTGCATTTAAAAAGAATTTAATTAACCAACATTCTGTAATGCATACATCTTATTGTTCAAAGTAGAAGACCTTTAGATACAACAACAATAAAACCACTTTTATGAAATGAGCATTTCTGTGTATTTTATGGGCATAGTTTTTCTATACCTACATCTCATTTTATGCTATTCTAAATATCAGATTTTTATTCGGAAAATATTAAGTTAAAGTCGAAACAAAACACAAGTAAAACCAACCAATGGGAGAAATAAACAGATATAAAACAACAGCGAACACACTCATATATCTATATCTCCCAAAACAAGGTCGAGATGGGATGTTGAAATCTTTCTCATTGACACTTATACCATTAGTTGGAAATCAAAGGAAATCTTATCTAGAAATAAAACTTCATATTTTTCTCACGCTATGCTGTTCATCCGTTTGTCAGAATCATGTACTATTTAGCATAACTTAGATAACAACGGAAGTTTGTAAATAGATATTTCGTTATATTAACTTTCCATATTTGTTAATATCAAAAAAGTTAATCTATCTCAAAGTCATTTTCCTTTGTTTATACAGATTCCATTGGAATGTACATAGGATTAAATGACCTTGTAACTGAAGGGACATTTCATTGGATAGCCAATGGTAAGCAGGCAACATACTTTAACTGGGGACCTACACAACCAAACAACAGAGGAGGAAACGAAAATTGTGTAGCTATGCGAGTTGATCCAGTTATAGGCTTCAATTATTCTTGGACAGATGGTCCTTGCACAGTACCAACCACCTACATTTGTGAAATGGTGTAAGTTTTATTTCAAAGAAATCGAATGAATTTTAAACTGTGATTTTCATTAAAACTTTTATTTTCAAATTATTGTAATGTAATGTACAAGTCGCCATCTAAATAAGTTGATGATTTATACCAGGCTTAAAAAGTGTGTACGCCTGACGCGTTTCGTCTACAAAAGAATCATCAATGATGCTTGGATCACAAAAGTTAAAATGGCCAAATAAAGTACAAGTTAAAGAGCTTGAAACACCATAAGCTATTGATAATAATTGCTTTGAAGAAAAGTTGTTCTTCTTTTACTGATCGACCTAAATAACAAAACGGATAATCTAGATCGTTAGTTGGATATTTATAGTGTACTGTTATTACACAGTGGTCAACCCAACATATCATGTCGCTTTTCTTAAACTTTTGAAAAGATGACCTCAACCTTAAATTTAATATGAAGATAAGCAGAAAAGGTATCATTGCCAATGAGACAAATATCCACAAGAGACGATATTAATAAGCAACTAAAGGTCACCGCTTTCAACAATGAGCAAAACCTATACAGCTTAGCAAGGTATAAAAGCCGCCAAAATGACATGTAAAACAATTCAAACGAGAACACTAATGGCCTCATAAGCGAAAAATTAATATAATATAAAAACAACGAAGGGCAATCACATGAATTACAGTCATATGACTAGGGTTATGCGCCTCATTGTTCATATGTCAGTAGTAACTTCTATTTAAAAAAAAACCCACATTTAAAAGATCATTAATATTTATTTTAAAATATCTTTTTATTTATTTTAGGGCAGCAGATATTGGAAACCTTCTCGGATAGGCGTAATTGTCAGAAATTGTTTTACATTTTACATGTCAGTTTATTCATTATATATAATATATACCTAAATTCTTCTGTTTGTTTTTATTTGATATTTTGTTATATGTAAATTGCTTGATATTGGGAGAGACCATAGAGTAAAATGGATTCTCTACATATTGATAATACCAGAGAGAGAGAGAGAGAGAGAGAGAGAGAGAGAGAGAGAGAGAGAGAGTAATCTTCAGTTATCTTTTATCAATTAACCTCGTAGTCTATTACTTCAAAGCCGTAGCCGACTAACATGAAATGTGTAGATCCAGAAAATACTGTAACCCTCACTTCCATTTTTATTGAAAGAAGAAAAAATAATATAAATTTACAGATGATGCAACAATAAACTTCTGTAATTTCTGGGAAATCCATCAGAATTTCTATATCATTTAATAAAAAATGTACCACTGAGAGGAATTGATATTCATTACGACACACAAAAACACAGAATATTTAAATGGTCATTCAATAAACATTACAATAAAATTTAGCTCCAGTATGTTGTTTGATGGAATTGATGGAAATTAACAGAACACACAATAGTTCTATCACTTTTCCTAACCTATACCCAAACACTATCTTAATTTCTGATATGAAAAGCATGTAATCAGAATAATCCATAGGTTTGATTTACAATAGTGAGTAATGGTACATATAAGTTTTATTTAAAACATTTCGAAAAATGAGCATTATTGTGGAACATTAACACTGACGGTTTTTTGCGTGCTTCCTATACAAAAGCCTCACCACTGACGGTCGTATCCCAAAAATTAAAAAGGAGAAATACGAAGTTGAAGAGCATTGAGAAGATAACTTATCTTTCATAAAATTCAAAGATACCTAACTTATCCTACATAAATGAATTAAGGTCGAAAATAAGCAACGTCTGGTTTGCTGAATACAGTTTCCGGTGTCAATTGATAGCTAAATATGAACTGATTTCTAAAATATATGGCTTCTGTATTTTGTCACAAAGTAAGGGAGCTTATTTACAATTTCCGGTTGGAAGTTACAACGACCGGTTTGATATAATAGGTTACTGCATATAGATTCCAAATATATTTGGTTGCTAGATGTTTTTACATACAATTAATGCAAAAAATAGCTATATCATGTTAACAGAAGGTCAGTATTGTAAATGACCTTTCCAGATCATATGTCTTCCAAACTAATTCAAAGGAACCAATTGCTTTATTATGTTTAAATATCAAGTTAAAGCAAAGGTCCAAATCTACAACGTCAAATTCATCTTCGATCTTGAACTTAATTCTATGTTCACAAAGCAAGGATCTCATATTCAAAATGTTTAAATAAAAAATACCAAACTTAAAGTTAAATTCAAAAACGGTGTAGGTTCTTGAAACATGACCAAAATAAAACGTCCGACTATATCAACCAACACATCGAACGGCGAACAACTGTAGTATTACTTACTTGGTACAGGCAATGTCCGAAAAAGATGGTGGTTAAACCTGGTTGTATTGATAGGTAAACCTCTTACTTGTATGACAGTTATTTCTTGTCCCTATATATTTCCAAAATGGGGAGCAACCGTAACAGACTAAATATGACATTAGTTGGGATACAAAACTGTGTAAACAATCATCACACAAGGTTGATTGGTTTGAACGTTTGATTTTGCCATTAAATAAAAGATTTTCTGTTTTGAATGTTTCTTGGAGTTCGGTATTTTTGCGTTTTTACTTATACAACACAATTAACAAAAATTATCAAACAAACAAACATATAAATCTTAATATGAATAAATCATAATTTTTTTCTACTGTAGTTAATAGAAAATCTGACAAAGACGCCAACAATAAAAGTAATTGTAGTTGATAGTACATGCAGGATATAAAAACATAATGCCGTACAGTATACATTTCCTGATAAAGTACGAATTATGTAAATTATAAATACAAGGGTAAACAGAATTAAAACAACATTGTTAACACCTAATGGGTCTGAATTGCACCTCTGCACCCACTTGCACCAGGAACGTAAAAAGCCAAAAAAACCGATAGCTGAATAGACGTAAAAGGACCATAAAGGAACATTATAGCATAAAAAAAAAAAAATGACGGGAAAAATGTAATGAAATAAAAAGATAAACATTTGTATCACCTACAATCCAAAGACCATGTGAAGGAGACACTGAATATTTATGTATAAGGTCTTGATACTTTCCGATGACCTGTTCAGGAAAATTATGAAACGAGCAGTTTTGTCAATGCAAATATTCAGGATCGATCGAAACAATATAGACGTTCTGAAACAAAATATACCAACAAACAATATATATGTATAAAACAGAAGGAACAAAAATCACCGCTTAACCTAACTCAAATTTTAGGGTAAACTCAAGTAGTAGAGAACTGAGAGTTCTGCCACACTTTCACTTTCGATCATTTTTTCTACAAAATTGAAAATAAAAGTAGGTCATCCATCTATTTATTAAATTAGTAAGGAACCGGTTCCAATAAAGTTTCATAAAACGCCCTAAACCCTAGTGAGAGTTGTGTCCCACTATGCAGAAATGCGTTTTTTCAAAAAGGAGTGAGAGGTGTTGAAATTGAAAAAAAAGAAGAATAAAAGACATGGGTATAGTAAGTAAAATGAATACGATTGTTGTTGAAACGGTAAAACAGTTAAGAAGTATGGCTAAAAATGCTGGTCTTAAAAGGGTTCTCTAGAATGAAGAAAGATGAGCTGGTAGAGTTGATTGAAACAAAGAAGGAACATACATTTAAGCGTATTCCTAAACCAGCGACAAAAAAAAGAGATCATGATCGAGGCGAAACAACATGGGTTGAAAGGTGTGGGTAGATTACCTATAAATCAACTGTTGACAAAGGTAGGTGAGAAAATCAAGAAGGATCAAGAGTCCATGATTCGGGTACATGAACCCATTAGATCCATTAAAGGTCTATTGACTACCTGGAAAATGACATCGGATGCAGAAATGGACACCCAGACCTTTCTTGAAGTAACACAAGGGAAAATGATGGACATTACCCAGAATTGTGGATTGAAAGGGGTTAAAATTAATGTGGTGTTACACTGTACTTTCGTGAAAATCAACCCCACATGTAAAGAGGACGATGAGAATGAGGGACACTTCAATTCGGGAAATCGAACTATAACCGAAGCCACCGACCTTATTGAAACTTTGAAAGAGATGGACCTAAAGATCGGAAAAAAGATTGCCGAGTGGACCTCTGAGAAGAATGGGTGGACATTGAAGGAAATCGTGAAATAACAACCCTAACATCAACAAACACACACCGTTATCTGGTTTGCAGTATGTAGATTTACCAAAATTGATCAAAGACAAAAAAGCCGTGATTAATGTTCAAAACAAAGATGATTAGTGTTTTAAATGGGCAATACTTGAAGCCGTGCATCATGAGGAGGTAGACCAAAAGAAAACACAAAGGTGGACTCAGTACTGTAGATTGAATAATGAACTAAACCTAAAAGGATTATCATTCCCCGTAAGCCGTAAGGATATTAGCAAGTTTGAGAAAATCAACCCTACCTTAGCAGTCAATGTGTATGGAATCAATGATGACAATGCGAAATACACACTACGATATTAAGTTTTTGCCGAAAAGTGGGATAGAGACATTCAATTGTTGCTGATAGAAGGTAAAGGTAAAAAACATAAGTGTTGCATAAAAACATGTCTAGCATGTCTAGAGTACTGTCGAATCAGATCTCGGATCATAACGGTAGACTTAAATTTTGCTACAGGTGTTTAAGCCACTTCCACAGCAAAGATGCATTGAAGAAACATAAAGAATATTGCGTTAACCACAAGGCAGTTAAGATCAAGATGCCCGGTAAAGGAGCCTACCAAAGCATTGAGAACCACGCCAGATCGACGAAAGTTCCTTTCTCGGTTTATGCAGACTTTGAGTGTTATACCGAAAAAGTAGAATCCAAGACAGAGGAAACCGTTGCAGACAAACCACACACCAAAGTGTATCAAAAGCATATACCATCGGGATTTTGTTATTACATTAAATGCTTTGATGACAGTGTCTTTACTAAGGAGCCGGTACCTTACACTATGCAAAAAGAAGGGAAATATGTGGCGCAGATTTTTGTTGAAAGACTTGAGAAAGATATCAAAGTCATTTTCTGCGAGAATGACTTCAAAAAACCGATGGTGATGACGACGGAGGATAAGAATGATTTTACGACTGCCATACAGTGCTGGCTCTGTGACAACGCTTTAGGAGAGGACAAAGTCAGAGATCACTGTCACTTCACAGGTAAGTATAGAGGCGCAGCACACAACGAGTGTAACTTGAAGAACAAAGTACCAAAGTTTATACCCGTGTATTTTCATAATCTAGCTGGGTATGAGAGTCATCTTTTCATTAAGAATTAATGTGTAACAGAAGGACCAATTATGTATTCCAAACACCGATGAAAACTATATTTCACTCATCAAAAGAATTCAAGTAAGTGACTACAAATCAAAGGATGGTTACATGAAACCACTGTACCAACATTTGAGATTTGTAGACAGCGTTAAATCTATGAGTACGAGTTTAGAAAAAATAGTAAAAGCAACCTCCCGTGAGGATTTGAAAAATATCGAAAAATTGTTTGGTGACCTACCGCTAGATCCTGAATTGTACAAGGTTAACCCATCTACCTCAGAAAACAATCGAGTCATTCAACTAAGTGAAGTTATTGATAAACGTAAAATGGAATACATTGTGTCCCATCTAGATGGTTTTGAATTGGGAAGTTGATGCATTAACGGGGTTAAGATGGGAAAGAATGCACAATTAAAATTAATGAAGGATTACTTGTCAAGGGTTAACAAGCGAAGAGAATGTGTAATGAGATAGTATCAGAGAAAAAGTTTTGGTAGATACTGGACTAGTTAAAAACTAGATATTCAAAACATGAGTCGGAAAATCAGACACAACTTGTGTTCAGACATCATGTATGACATTGACATGAAAAATGCTCATCCAACTTTACTGTCATGGTTTTGTTATGAAAATGGAATCGAATGTAAAGGATTAGATGCTTATATTGAACATCGATTAGAGTACTTAGCTATTTTAATGAAACACACAGGTAAAACACGTGATGAATGTAAAGACACTTTAGCCATCATTAATGGTAGACGAGAAGCACAAAACAAGGATGATCCTGAATGGTACAAATCTTACTATAATGAGATTAAACACATTACTGAATCCATCATTGCTTTACGACCAGACTTACATAAATTAGCTTAACAATCTAAAGAAAAGAAAGGTAAGAAAGAATACAACATTGGAGGAACTACCGTTAATTACATTATGTGTTTATTAGAAAAAAGAGTATTAATGATTGCTTTTGACTACTTAACAAAACAAAACATTGAAGTAGGTGCTCTTGTGTTTGATTGACTCCTGGTTTGCGAAAAGGATGTAACAAAGAAATGATGCCAGAGTTACTTGAGAAATGTTCTGCAGAAGTAAAAAAAGTGATGGGATGTGATATTACATTTACTTACAAAGTTAAGGATGAAGGGTATGATATACCCCTGGACGCGTCATCAACACAACATGTGAATGTAGAATTGCTTTTGCGAAAAGGTGTATACCCCTATGATTATATGGATAGTTTCGAGAAACTTCAGACCACTAAGTTACTATCTAAGAAAAAGTTTAACAATACCTTCACTAATGTGGATGTGAGCAAAACAGACTATAAACACGCCCATGGAGTCTGGAAAGAAATGGGAATGACCAGTATGAGAGAGTACCACGATCTGTATTTGAAGACTAACGTGCTCCTACTATGCGTCGTGTTTAAGAAATTCAGAGATCTTTTTTTGAAGATTTATCAACTCGACCCCGCTTGGTATTTAACAGCACAGAGTCTTTCTTATGATGCACTATTGAACATTACCGGTGCAAAGCTTGAGCTTCCGACAGATCCGGATATGCTTTTAATGTATGAACAAGGGATTAAGGGAGGAGTAACCGTCGCAACTAAACGATATTCCAAAACTAACAATTCATACATTGAAGGGCATGATGCTAGCAAACCAACGATTCACTTGATGTACGTGGACGCCAACATCTTGTATGGATGGGCTATGAGTAAGCACTTATCCACCGATGGGTTCACGTGGATCATTCCCGATGAGATTCAAGCCCTGGAGACCATCACCGCTGAAAGAATCACTTCCTTTTTCCACAGCGTTCGATTGGAGGACTGATTATTAGCAAGTGGTAAGACAACATTACTCAACAATTTTCTCCTTAAAGAGGACTGGTTAGATTACGATTGCTTGCACGTGTTTGGAAAATCACTTCATCAACCCATGTATCAACTGTTGCAACACGCATTGGAAAAGGGATTCACTAAAAAAGACATACGATCTTTGTTATACGTGAAAGGAAAATGTCCTCACTCTTAAATCGATGTTGTAAAAGACTTACTCCCACCTCAACATCCTAGTGGTAACGAGTCCTTCTTTTATGAACAAGGAGACGATATATCAGACCCTCGACAACTGGATTTTCATCGTAAAAACTGAATGATGTTTGACGCTCAATAGTGTTCAACGTTCAGTGCTCTGAATGAATGACTTTTATTAGCATTAGTGATCCTGAACAAAGTGAAGCTCTTGCGATGTCGAGCGTAACATTCAAGCTTGCAACTTACAAGAAGGACTGAATAAACAAGGATTGCGTCGTGATCTTAAATTTTTTAAACCCGTCGTAGAAGCACAAGATAAAACGGCTTCTAAAATCACCAAGACGATTGAAAATCT